GAGTTGGCGTGAGCCGGCTCACAGTTTTTTTAGCCTCCGGCTCACAGATTTTTGCCTTAGCTCAGGAAGGATGCCCCCCGGATGCCCCCCGGACTTCCAGGCTCCTGCAAGGTTGCAGGACAGACCCGGGCCAGGCGCGCGCACCATTCACCGGGAGATCCCTTCTACTTTCCTTCTTTGGAGGTTTGTTTGGGATTGAGTGCCGGAGACCCAGTGTTCCCTCTAAGCTGAGTTGGCGTGAGCCAGCTCACAGTTTTTTTAGCCTCCGGCTCACAGATTTTTGCCTTAGCTCAGGAAGGGTGCCCCCCGGACTTCCAGGCTCCTGCAAGGTTGCAGGACAGACCCGGGCCAGGCGCGCGCACCATTCACCGGGAGATCCCTTCTACTTTCCTTCTTTGGAGGTTTGTTTGGGATTGAGTGCCGGAGACCCAGTGTTCCCTCTAAGCTGAGTTGGCGTGAGCCGGCTCACAGTTTTTTTAGCCTCCGGCTCACAGATTTTTGCCTTAGCTCAGGAAGGGTGCCCCCCGGACTTCCAGGCTCCTGCAAGGTTGCAGGACAGACCCGGGCCAGGCGCGCGCACCATTCACCGGGAGATCCCTTCTAAAGACTCCACGGCTTAGAGGGAACATTGGCTGGAGTCCGTGGGGTTTCCTTCGGAGTCGCGTTGATGGTGTTTGCGGGAGGAGAAGAGAGCCAGAGCTGGCAGAGTTCTCCCTGGTTCTTTCTCCACGAGACCTTAAATCCTGGTTCAACCCTGTCCCTGAACTTACATTCTGCACTACACGCGAGTTCACCCCTGTAATTATCTTGGGGTGTCTTTTGTTTCCACATTACACTGACGTCACCCCGGTTTCGCCCCACACTTGTCCCGGGGTAAACCGATGCCCATCCGTACTCAAAGCCATTAAAAATGAAGTACAGTTAGATAAACATAGCACAACTTTAAAATGTGAGATGGTGAAAGGCGATTTACACTTTATATCAGAGTCTGTTTGGTATAGTGTGGTTAGGAGCACAGACTCTAATCTGGGAGAACTGGGTTTGATTCCCCACTCCTCCACGTGTTGTGGGGAGGGGAAGGGAAAAGAGATTGTAAACTGCTCTGAGACTCCTTCAAGTAGTGAAGGGTGAGGTATAAATTCAACCTCCTCCTCCTCCTTCTCCTCTTTATTATCTACTTTATTTGTACCCTGCCTTCGTCTGCAATGAGGACCAAAAGCCACTTACATTGTTCTCCTCTCACCCATTTTATCACCACAACAACACTGTGAGGTAGGTTAGGCTGCCGGCATGTATAGGCTAGCCCAAGGCTTCTATGGCTGAATGGCAATTTGAGCCTGGGTTTCCCAGAACTTAGTCCAACGTTTTAACTACTACGCCGCGCTAGCTCTCCCAGTGCACAGTCTGTCAATGGCTATTAGCTATGACGACTGAGGGGAACCTCCAAGTTCAGAGGCACCAATCCTCCAAATCCCAGAGCCGGGAGACGACATCAAGGGAAGGCCTCGGTCTCTCTGCCCTGTTATTGGCTGTCCAGAGGCACTGGTTGGGTTACTGTGTGAGACAGGATGCTGGACTAGTGATCGATCCAGCAGGGCTCTTCTTATAGTCCACATTTTAATCACTTTGGGAAAGAGGAAAATAAGTTCCTATGAGGAAAGGTTAAGGCGCTTAGGGCTCTTTAGCTTGGAGAAACGACGACTGAGGGGTGACATGATTGAGGTTTATAAGATTATGCATGGGAAAGAGCAGGTAGAGAAAGAGGTACTTTTCTCCCTTTCTCACAATACAAGAACCCGTGGGCACTCCATGAAATTGCTGAGCGGCCACACTAGCTCTCCCAGTGCACAGTCTATCAATGGCTATTAGCTATGACGACTGAGGGGAACCTCCAAGTTCAGAGGCACTAATCCTCCAAATCCTAGAGCCGGGAGATGACATCAAGGGAAGGCCTCGGTCTCTCTGCCCTGTTATTGGCCGTCCAGAGGCACTGGTTGGGTTACTGTGGGAGACGGGATGCTGGACTAGTGATTGATCCAGCAGGGCTCTTCTTATAGTCCACATTTTAATCACTTTTGGGAGAGAGGAAAATAAGTTCTCCTTGTCAACTCTCTCCACTCCATGTGTAATTTTATAAACCAGGGTACATCTAGGGCAGAGGTGGCGAACCTATGGCACGGGTGCCAGAGGTGGCACTCAGAGCCCTCTCTGTGGGCACGTGTGCCATCGCCCCAGCCAGGCCCAGACCATCATTAAAGTCTCGAATTCTCTGCCAAATAATTTTAAGTAAGTGAAAGCATTTGGGATTGCTTTCCTTACTTTGTTTGGATCATCTTAAGTTAATGTATGAGCTGTTTTTTCTAAAGTACAACCTCAGTATTCAGGTTAAATTGCCGTGTTGGCACTTTGCGATAAAGAAGTGGATTTTGGGTCGCAGTTTGGGCACTCGGTCTCTAAAAGGTTCGCCATCGCTGATCTAGAGGATAAAGTTTGAATCCAGTGGCACCTTTAAGACCAACACAGTTTTATTCTGGGTATCAGCTTTCATGGGCAGGCGCGCTTCTACAGATGACATCTGAAGCTGGTACCCAGAATAAAACTTGGCTGGTCTTAAAGGTGCCACTGGACTCAAACTGTGTCCTGCTGTCTCAGACCACTACGGCTACCTACCTGAATACATCTCGGGGATGTCGGCTATCATTAATTTTGTGGTGCATAACGTGTGCTTTTAATTCTCTTTTTAAAGATGTACAATGTCTTTCCACGCTGGACGAGGGTGTCCCCGGAGCAGAGGAGGAGGGGGCACAGTGAGGGCCTCGACGCAGACTTTTCGACCCCAGAACTTGAGACAGCTCCATCCGCAGCAGCCTTCGGTTCAGTATTCGTACGACCAGCAATCCGTGACTCCGTCTGCCGCCTACTCGAGTCCTCCTGCTACGACCTATGTGCCTCCTAGACCGGATTTTGTTCCGTATCCACCACCCATCCCCCCGTCTCCTCCGGGTACCGTAAGCCAATGTCCCCCGCAGCCTCCCTATGCCGGCCACCAAGTGAGACAGAGTTTCCCACTCCCTCCTTGCTTCCCCCCGGCTCCACCACCTGTCCCGACCCCTGGCAACCCCCCAGTTCCGGCAACTGCAACCGGGCAGAACACGTTTCCTTACATGTTGCCCCCTCCATCCATACCGCTCCCCCTTCCCCCGCCAATCATTCCTCAGCCGGTGAATTACCAGCCTGTGTACTCCCCGGCCTATCCGCAGCATACCTTGCCCCCTCCTAACTTTAACAATTACCAGCACAACGCAAACTCTTACCAAAGCGGCAGCACCAACACAAACAGCAGCGTCGGCAGCACCGGCGCGAATTTTCGGCACTCGAGTCAGTATTCGGCGGAAAAGTCTCCGAATGAACGGAGGTCCCCCGAGAGGGGGAAACACTATGAAGAGCATCGTCACCGGGACCACTGTCGTGGGCACGGAGATCGGCATCGGTCCACCAACCACGCCGAGCGGCGGGACCGCGGGAGAAGCCTGGACCGGAGGCGGCAAGAAAGTAGTCGGCATCGGTCGGAGTACGTCAGGGGAAGGACTCCGCCCCGCCACAGAAGCTATGAATGGTACAGGTGAGCGGGTGTGAATTTGTTTACGATAGATAGAGGGGGGTTGCAGTATGATAATAATAAACACGATAGAACTACTGCTAACTGTGCAAACTATGCATAATCCAATTCGTATTAATGCAACAACAACGTATCTAATCCATTGCTCAAATATGCTTTACAGCAAATAAGGACGTCACAAGATGAAAATGAAGACGTCAACAGATGAAAATGGACGAACTCCACCAGAGTTGATATTCGTTTCGAGGCGTCTTTTTCATACACAAAACCTCATACAGCTGTGCATCCACATGGTCATAAATCTTCCAAATTGGACTGATCTTTACAAAATCTTTACAAATGGGACTGATCAGTCCGTTCTTGATGTTGTGGCTAAGAGCATTTTGTGAATAACTTCAAAACGTATAGGAACAAAGGAAAGTCCAATTTGGAAGATTTATGACCATGTGGATGCACAGCTGTATGAGGTTTTGTGTATGAAAAAGACGCCTTGAAACGAATATCAACTCCGGGGGAGTTCGTCCATTTTCATCTGTTGACGTCTTCATTTTCATCTTGTGACGTCCTTATTTTCTGTAAAGCATATTTGAACAGTGGATTAGATATGTTGTTGTTGCATTTATACAAATTGGATTATGCATAGTTTGCACAGTTTGCAGTAGTAAATCTGTTTACAGCTGAGACGTGTGTCCCACCCTGTGGCCAGGTAAATTCCGGGTGACAAAAGCGTAAACTGTTTTCCATTGCAAAACCTTGTGAGTTTAGTCAGAGTGATGGAAAATGGCTGCCCCAGTCGCACCACCTCAAAGAAGAGGGGGCTGCACTGTTGCCTCCATGCTTGAGGGGGGAGGACGGGAAACGGATGGAGGCTCAGTTAATTATTCTCAGCATTAAGAACATAAGAACCTAAGAGACGCCAATATTGAATCAGGCCAAACGCCCATCCAGCCCAACACTCTGTATCACACACTGGCCAGAAATACCAGGTGACATCAGGTACACCAGTGGGGCCAGGACACTAGAAACCCTCCCACTGTTGCCCCCCCCCCAAGCACCAAGAAGACAGAGCATCACTTGCCCCAGAGTCCCTATCTATACCTTGTGCCCATAGCCACTGATGGACCTCTGCTCCATATGCTTATCCAATTCCCTCTTGAAGCCGTCCATGCTTGTAGCCGCCACCACTTCCTGTGGCAGTGAATCCCATGTGTTCATCACTCTTTGGGTGAAGAAGTACTTCCTTTGATCCGTTCTAACCCGACCGCTCAGCAATTTCATGGAGTGCCCACGTGTTCTTGTATTGTGAGAAAGGGAGAAAAGTACCTCTTTCTCTACCTGCTCTTTCCCATGCATAATCTTATAAACCTCAATCTTATAAACCTCAATCATGTCACCCCTCCGCAGCTGAAAAGGGTACATTTGATTTTGATATATATTCCCTTCACTGGGTCTTCCCCTGGAATTAAACCCACACAAATGGTGACCCTGTAAACTGAGTTTGTTATTCTAGTTTGGTCCTTGCATCTGTTAAACACCTTTTATTAGGCTTATGCTAATTTGCCGCTCACCCAACGTTCTGTATGGACTGGTAATTGCCATTTGATTGTATCTGAAGACGTGTGCTTGCCCCCGAAAGCTTATATCTTGAATAAAACTTTGTTGGTCTTAAAGGTGTCCCACTGGACTCGAACTTTGTTTTGCTGCTTCAGACCCCTCCTCCCGGAATCTGCCCCAAAGTTAAACAGTGACGTTCACAGCTGAACAGAGATTTCGATGCCAGTCTCTACACTCAGAGTTCAGTGCGCTTCCCGCTGCAGCATACCGGCTTTCATCTACAGGACCCAAGCAAATGGAGATATTCCCAGAGGGGAGTGGTCTTAATGTGGTACAGCAAAAGTAAACAGGAATCGTATCCCGCTTTCAATATTGCCAAATATTTATTCCAGCATAAGCGTTTGTGGACTAGTACGTAATTTCTTGTGTGTTCATCTTGAAAGTGTCGTAAGACTCCTGTTTGTTTTTGCAGGGAGGCAGAGTTGCTCAAAGGTGTGTCCTCTCTAGGTCTGAATGTGTCATCTGACACCTCGGTTTAGAGGTTGTCGTTCTAGAACTATTGTATTTTTAAAGGTGTCTGCCCCTCATGGTTGTGGGTGTTGGACATGGGAGTGTAACAGGAGTTCACTGTTTTCCACATTGATTAGTGGAGCTAAATCTCGAATTATGATGTTCTTGAGAATAAACAATTTACATCACAGGTTTGTAGTAGGCATCGTTCGAGTCTTCTTTTGCAGTTTCTTTCAGATATTATCAGCTGTGAAGTAGCTCACCTTATGTGGTAGGGGGAACTGCTGGCTACTCACCGTGACTAGACTGAGAAATAGTGTTACTTATCTGCCTTTGTTATTTGAAACAACATTCATCTATGCCAAACTTATGTATTGCTCATCCACCTTACCTGACATTTATTACTTTATTTGAAATATTTACACGCTCCTTTTCAGCACCAAAAGAGTTTTCCAAAGTGGCTTACAAGATCATAATGCCCAAAGACCTGTGAAAAACCACAGAATCGCACCCCAAAAATGAAACAAAGATTTGATCAGCAGCACATTAAACCCCCACCGGAGTCCAGTTATAGCATCCATATAAAAAAATAAAACTGAATCACCGTCATCTTTTATGATTATGATCTTTTAGCTCCAGAATCCTTAGACTGGTAACATATTTGGATCTCCCCTTGTTATTTAGTATCAGAGTTTACCAAAAAGGAGAAGCAGGATTTTAATATTTCTTAATTTAAACTCTTAAAGGGACCGACCGAGGGACAGACACCGTCACCGTGACAGCCGACGGTCGACTTCTACGGAGAGATCTTATAGAAAAGATCACAAGCGAACAGGAAGGTAAACTGGGTTATTTTGCCTCAGAGATGCTGTTGGGTAGCCATTGGTTATTTGCTTTGGGCAGAAGGACGCACACTTTCACAGAACTGCTGTCCTGTTAGACAGCGTCTCTTGTCCTGAAAAGCGTTATCAATTTTTTAATGGCGGCAAAAACATTAATTGCCCTTAATTGGAAACTTACCAAAATTCCTACACTAGCGCAATGGAAGTCAAAAGTATGGGACAATATAATCTCGGACAAAACCTCAATCCAAATATCTTTAAACGACAAACACAAATTTGTTACTGATTTTACTGAAAAATGGTTTGTGTTTTTTGAATACATTAATGCTGATCAATCCCAAAGTTTCAAGCTACCAAAAAAGTATACAGATTTTGTATTTTATTAATATGTTCTTTGTAGAGTTATTATTGATCCTGAATATGTATGTGTATTGGTTACATGTACTGTAACTACTTGAATTTCTCCGTAACTTTCTATGAGCCTTCGGGGTAGGGCGGGATATAAATGTAAATATAAATAAAAATAAATAAAATAATGTTTTATTTGTATCTTTATAAAATTTATAAAAATGTTTTAAAAAGCGTTAATAAGTAGAAGAGGAGGAGGAGGAGATTGGATTTATACCCCGCCCTCCACTTGGAGTCTCAGAGCAGCTTACGAACTCCATTCCCTTCCCCTCCCCACAACAGACACCTTGTGAGGTAGGTGGGGCTGAGAGAGCTCTGACAGAAACTGCCCTTTCAAGGACAGCTCTGACAGAACTGTGGCTTGCCCAAGGTCATCTAGCAGGTGTGAGTGGAGGAGTGGGGAATCAAACCCGGTTCT